CTAGATTACACTGTCTGGTCCTTTTACAGTTTATCAGTCCCTAGGATATTTCTTTAAAATTAACAACTAAATTACCTTTCTCGAGGAGACACTGTGCTTGAACACCCTGAGGGGAAAACTATCATTTGCTAACTGCAGTATTTCCATATGGCAAGAATCTCCTCGATGAGTTGCAACTGACAAATTGATGGAATCTCAGCTTTTCTTTACTTCCTTTTTTTCTATCTCCTTTTCACATTTCAGAGAATTCTGTATACCTTCCCAGCTCAAAAACTCACAGACGCATTGCAAAGCATATTTTTTGCCTGTTGTATTCTGCAATTGTGGATAAGATAGTCTAAAATTCTTTTCACACAAATGCAAAGATATTTAAAAGAATTTTCACAAAAACGTAAGTCTCCCCAAATATACCACATCAATATTTCCATTTTTTTTGCAAGCTGAATACATATATTATATTTCAGTATGTCCCTGTGAATAAATAAAGGTTAAGTCATTTTTAAAGCATATTAAATTAGTCAAATGAATGTATTACCACTCATTGAAATTTTATATATGTTCTACCTCTTCAGTTTTAAAGTATACAGACATTACTAATCCTGTGAAATCTCTACATTCTTAGAAATGTGCACATATTTGTTAATATATTTTAGCAGACACTGAGCAAGCCTTTAAAACTAATATATTTTAAGTAACGTTCTTAGAACAAAAAATAAAAATAACATAAAACTAATACAAGATATAGTCATTTACCACAACAACTTTATTTTGCTGGACAATGTATAAACATACTAATATATTCCTAGTGGTACAAAGCAGCATGTAAACCATTGCCTACTTGGTTAGGATGCTTGTGTGTACTATGGGAACAATTAATTCGAGCTAGAATGCTCAGGGAAAACATAGTGAAGAGAAGAGCCCAAATAGCTTACCCTGTGCATGGATATATAGAGACCAAGGGGACTAGAGGATTATAGTTAGAAAATAGAGTAAGTCTTGTTTAGGGAAGAGTAAAGTATCTGACCTTTACGAAAGCAAAGGATCTACACTGGGAAATAGCAAAGTTAAAATTAGATTAAAAGAGCAGGTTGCATTGTGGAGGATCGTAAAAAGGACATTTTACTGGGGAAAAAAAGCAGAGATCCATTAGAGGTTTTGAGTTGGTAAATGAAATGGTAAAATCTGCGATTTAAGAAACAAATTTAGAGCAATATTTATTTATCTATGTTCTAGGAATAGTAATTAATGGGGTTACTACAAAAGTGTCTGCAAGATCAAATACATGTGGAAAATAGAAAATACTGCAAGTTTTCTCTACGACTTTAAGATGTTAATAGACATTTTGACTCTCCTAAACAAAAATATAGGATTTTGCAAATGTGACCAGGGAACCCTTTCTAGGAAAACCATGCATGGATCAAGGATCCCATATGTGGTGGTACCAATCTAAGTCTATAAACTGAGATATGTAAGAAATGTACTGTTCCACATTTTAAGTAGCTCATTTAATTTCTACTGTGATCCTCTATTCTCATATTGTAGAACCTCAAGATTTCTTCTTTTTCCCCATGAGTGTGTGTTCTGGAGTCTAATTGTGCCAAGGAATTAGAGAGTTGTAGAATAGTGGAGTGGCACTTCTCTGGTCCTCTCTGTCATCTACACAAGTTGGCATCTGTGAGATGTTCTAACTACTACCTGGTCCCAAACAATTGGTCTGTACAACTGTTGCTGAGACATATCTCATTCAAATCCACTGGCTCTCTTTACTTCCATACTATTCTTAGGCTGACGGAATAATTGTCCTGATTTGTTCTATGATGGGGTACAAGAAACTGTATGAATGTGCATAGCTCCATCTTTCTTAGACGTATCATTTAGCTATTTATTCTATGAAGGCTTCTTGCTTTGTTTAGAAGCCTGTTGAGGAAGTGGACACATGTCTCATAAACCTAATGGTTTTCGGCTTTTCCCATGAGATTTTACCTAAATCTTTATGCCGCAAATAGATTTTGTTTTCTTAGGAGACTGCATTTTTCAAACTCACAAGCCACAAGAGCTCTTTTCTTCTCATATTTCTGCTATAACTTCTCTTCACCTAGCTAAGGGCCTAATTACCATAAAGGAAGATGGGTGGGGGCAAGAAATACCTGAGAAAAAAGTTTGTTATTATTTTAAAGATATTTTCTTCCACTCAGGGATACTCTTTAGGAAATGCTAAAGAATGGAGGGTTATAAACTGATCAGTAAAAGGATGTGTGTAGTAGTGATGCTGCCTTGAATTGTGATTATTATATGTGGCAGATTACACCAACAGCTCCCAATAGCAATGAATGACACTTTGTTTTGAAGCTTTATATTTTGTCTTTACATCTCTTGTGCTGTCTCCTCCTACATTGACTCTAAGCTTGATCATGTGACTGTGGACATTGACTAACGTGACATTAGCAAATGTGAGGCAAGCAGAAGCTTGGACAGAATTTACCCTTTCTTGCTGCTGTGTACACTTCCTCCTCCACACAAATAAGGCTGAGATGGCTTATTAAAGACATGAGGACCAAATGAGAGCAAATACTAACCAATAGACACGTAAGTTAGCCTCAGTGGAGCTGTGAGCTGACTGAAGATGCATGAGGACCCAGGTAAGACTAGAAGAACTGCCCAGTTGAGCCTCCACCAAAATGCTAATGTGAGTTATGAACAGATAAAATGGTTGCCTATGCCATCAAGTTACAGAACAATTTTTATTGCATCAGTAAATATATACACAATACAATACAATAAAATGTAGCACAAGAGACTCCTGGTTTAAAAATACCATCATAGATTCAAGCTGGTTTCACTCTCAGAACCCAAATATGAGAATGCATCAGTTCTCGGAGCCACAAAGAAGTGAAAAACATCTGAGCAAATGGTAAGAATATTGGATTTTCATGTTTGTGATGACCCTCCCCAACTCCTTATCTATCTGGCACCAAAATGCAGAAAATTTCCCCTGAATCATGGTTTCTGTAATGAAAAACATGAGATTGAGGTGAACACCAGTTTCCTCACCATCTTGGGTTCCCTAGCAGGAGGCCTGTCTCTGTCTCACCCCACAGGAAGCATCAGGGGTGCCGGAGGAAAGAAATATCCCTGAGGACAGTTGAAGACAAAGGGAGGAGGTGGGACTACTATCCCCAGCCATAGAAACTCTGCTTTGTGACTCCACCAAAGCAGATGTTAAATCGGAGTCACGGTTCAGCAGCACCACATTGTAAGATGTATGTTGCACAGGAGCCCTGCGTACGAATCCTTAGCCAGCCTGTCCACACTGCCTTACTATTCCCTTTAGGACTTTCCATGTTCAGGATAGGTAGTGCTCTGATTGCTTGCTAGAGCCAAGACAAACCTGGGCTTAATGTGCCTTCTAGTGCAAAAAAAGAAACAATCTTGTGGGGGAAAAGTGAGAAATTCAACAGTCAAATTACAAAGAATCTCTAAGCAAGCATACTGAATATAATCCAAAACAAGCAAGACAGAGAAGACTAGAATACATAACCAATCCATCAATGCAAAGGCACAAACACACATCCACAAGAAACAGCAGCAAACAGGGAATCATGACCTCCCCAAATGAACAAAGCAAGGAACCAGTGACTGACCCTAATGTGATGGTGATATGTGAGCTTTTAAAGTTGCAAAAGAGCAATTTTAAGCAAACTCAGTAATCTCTAAGATAACACAAAAATGCAACTGAAAATTTATCAATAAATTTAACGAAAATATTGAAATGATTTAAAAAATCAAAGAGAAATCCTGAAACAGAGAAATACATTTATATTTGCTGAACTGAAAAATTCACCACAGGCTTTCAACAGTGGAAATCAAGAGAAGAAAAGAATCAGTGGGCTCAAAGACAGATGATTTGAAATTATGCAGTCAGAGGAGAAAAAAAACAACACCACCACAGAATACAAATACAAAGGAATGAAAATTGCCTACAAGATAAAATTACCTCAAAAGACCAAATCTGAGAAATATTGCTGCCCAAGAAAGAGTGAAAGAAGAGTAAGGTGTAGAAAGGCTTAATCAAAGAAATAACAAAAAATTTACCAAACTTGAGAAAGATCTGAGTATTCAGGTACAGAAAAGTGAGAGAACACCAAACAGATTTGACCCAAACAAGACAACCCCAAGACACACAATAATTAAACTCTCAAAAGTCAAGGATGAAAGAGGATGTTAAAAGCAGCAAGAGAAAAGAAGCAAATAACATAGAAAAGAGCTCCAATTTATCAGGCAACAGAGTGACAATGGAATCCATACAGTCCAGGAGGGAGTGAGAAGACATTTGCGAAGTGCTGAAAGAAAAAAACAACTGAGCTTGAGAACGAGATGACTAATAGCAATGACTGGGAAAAAGTAAGACATTCAACAGTCAAATTACAAAAAATCTCTTTTCCAATATGAAAGAGAAAAATATCCCTGAAGAGAGAAATATCAGGGTGTAGCATGCTGAATATCAGTTGCGAGCCCCAGTGATGATGGATATTCCAACTACCTTGATTATATTTTAGGAATGTATCAAATCATCACAAAATGAGATAGTTTGAATATTTGTTCACTCCAAATCTCTTTTTGATACACGATCTGAAATGTTGTAGGTGTGGCCAAGTGGGAGGTTTTTGGGTCATGTGGGTGGATCCCTCATGAATGGCTTGGTGCCCTCCCCAAGGTAATGAGCGAGGGCTTGCTCTATTAGTTCACAGGAAAACTGATGGCTTAAAATGGCTGGTATTTCCTCCCATCTCTCTTGCTTGCTGTCTCACCATGTGACCTGCCTGCTCCCCCTTCACTTTCTGCCATGTGTAAGAGCTTCCGGAGTCCCTCACCAGAAGCAAACGCTGGTGCCATGCTTCTTGTAAAATCTGCACAACCTCAAGCCAAATAAACTTCTTTTATTTATAAATGACGACACCTCAGGTATTGTTTTATAGCAACACAAAACAGACTAATACACATGTACACAATATGTGCATTTATTATTAATAATAAAAAAGTAATACAGCATGGAAGAAATGGGAAGATAGAAGATCATGTGGGAAGATAGAATATCATGTGGGAAGATTTTCCTGAACACAGATGCATGGGATTAGGAAAATGAAAGCTCAAATGGGATGAGCTGGGATCTTGGAATGTCCTCATTCAGTGAGCACAGTGAAGGAGGAGCAGATGACCTTCTCAGCAGATGACCTGTGAGCCAATATTATGAAGAATGAGCAGATGGAGTCCTGGGTCCTGCATCATTGTGCCTGGGGCTTGCCCTGGACTCCAGGACAGCCGCTGTCTAAGCATCTGTCATGACTCCTGGGAGCCCCACTCACTGTTTCTCATCAAAACCAGCTGAATTTTTCAAGGTACCTGAAGCATCACTGTTTTCACAAGTCATTGAGCTCTTCTCCAAGAGGGAAGTGATGTCTTCTCCAAATATGCTGAGGCAGTTTTCAAAGAGAAATTGTACAATAGAAACCTGTAACACAAAAGGGAAAAATAAGGTGCTGTTTTATTTGGCATAGTTATAAATCATATTTCAACTATGAATCTTGGAGTGGGAAAAAACATGAAATTCAGAATTTTAAGAAAAAAATCAGAGTAGATGTAGGAAGATATGAACCAGTTTTCTCTAATAAACAACTATAATCTTTTCAACAGCATTTAGGGCACGTATCTTAAAATACTTGTAATCAGTGGGCTAAAGTTATAATTTATAGCTTAGCTTAATAGCTAACATTTTATATCAATTGTCACATCCCTAAAAATAGGATAATTTTCAAGCAACTCATATATGATGTTTGGGGTAATGATATACATTCTCTAATTAAAGGTATAAAGCACCCAATGGATAAAAACTTGTGAAATTCACTTGTTAAGTATCTTAAACTTGGAAAGCAGATATTCTCTGAGGGTCTTTCGTGAAGGAAGGAGGCAGCTGGAGAGAAAATGTCTGCTCATCTAACTGCAGTCCCTCTCCATGGGTTGCCTGGTCTCAGGATTGCTCTCTGGGTGATCTTGGCAGAGAGCTGGGGTCTTATCATTAGGTATATTGTAGCTCCATCAGGATATTCTAGAATGTTTTACTAGTTTCCTCATTCCAGCAGCAGAGACAAAATAGTAGCCAAGTAGTTCCCTGAATGCCAGCTGTGAGCCCCGATTGACAGAAAGGCAATATGTGTGGAGAAATGAGTGTTGATATTATTCAAACCACCAATAAGGTGTCAGTAATGACCAGAGGAACTGGGCGTTATCACCACTGCCATTGTTGAGATGAGGAAACTGTGGCTTGGAATCTTTGCCCCAGGTTACACATCCCTCAGTGATGAGACTGAGAGTTGAATTTTGGCTTGTCGAACTCCAAGGAACAGATTTTTTTTTTTCTATCATGTCACACCACTTTCTTATCTCTCTGTGGTATAGTCAATCTACTGTTTTATCTCCTAGATGGGAAAGGGGAAGTGACTTGCTGCTCTCAATTTCCCATTTAACAACCTACCTTCTCATATACCTTCTACCTTCTACCACCCCTAGAATAGTATTAAGGCAACTGCCACTTCAGAGGTGTAATTAAAGTGTGCATCTTAAAAAAAGTGGTTCCTCAGAGTTAATATCCTAAATTTCAGGTTCAAAGTGGGAACTCTGCTCCCCAGGGAATAACAATGAAAGACCTCATTACCTTTGTGGTGAACTCATTTACCACTTCTGAGCTGCAGGGAGTTGGCAAGCAAAGAATGCTTGGGGCTATACCTAAGGATAAATTATAAGCTGTCATCTGATTGGCTGAGGAATGCTGCTCAATGTTATGTAACACTCCCAAAAGGTATCACAAGAGAACAACATTGACTTTTGGCAGCTGGTCTAAAAGCCTAAACACAAAAATACACACTCTTAAAGCCAGGAATTTTACTCAGGAAGTTGTAAATACAGAGAAATAAAACAAGTACTTTTTTTCATAGAGCATTTACACGACTCAGTGAAAATACAAAAGAATAGAGAAATATGTTCAAATATGTCTTCATACTAAAATGTGTCTTAGGAAATATATCAGAAAATATTTCCCTGTAACCACTACAGTGTGTTTTAACTTGGGAAAACAGTACTAAAATCCAATAGCATATTTAAAACCCCTGTAACATTTCATAGTATGTTCAACAAAAACTTACTGATAATGTGAAAAAACAATTCATTTTCAAGGGCTCCCTTCACTTCTAAAGTAGCAATACAGGAATGCTGTCTCCTGCCCAAAAACACGATAAGTACCCAAAGCTTATCTGTTATCTAAGACTCATTCCATGCAGGAATGCATACAAAAATATTTTATTGAATTCAGTTCCTGAAGCAGATATTGATTTCTCTGGTTATTTGACTATTTGACAAAGTTAAGATTATACCACTGGTAGATTGGTCCTCTGTTACTTTTCTTGGGCCAAAGAATGTCATCTCCTATCAATGTTATGTATTCAGAATATGTAATGGTCAAACATTCTATATTAATAATATTAGGAGAAAAACAAGAATTCAATGACAGTACTAAGGTATTCATTTATTTTTAAACTGGACTCTATGTGTATGACCCCATAAACCACTTTGGCACTGGTCATTTTTTTAGTGCATAAAACTGAAAAATACAATAAACCAATATTTTTTTAAAGAATATGTTAGCTGGTTTTTTGAAATGTGCCTAGAATACAGTAATTATTGCTTCCTTACCTCTAGATGGCAGTTATTATCTCTTCCTTGTTCTCCTGATCAATAACACCATGCCACTTATCAAAGAGTTGGGATGAAAATATACTTTCTTGGATGTTTCGAAGAAAATCCTTACATAGATTAGAGAATTATTTTTTATGGCAAATGTATGTCAGAGAAATTACAAAGAAAACATTTCATTGAAAAATTCAGCTTAGTCCTCACTTCCTTCCTAGCTACCCAACTTCATAGCTCTGACTCTCCACTGACTTGCACACCCCAGAAGCAAGTGCTTGGATTTTCTCCAACGAAAACCAGCAGCATACAAACAAGCAGAGTGTGGGCAGCGGTGGGAAAGAAGATAAAAGTCTTCTCCTATGGTCTGAAACTTCTTTATGTATATTTTAGCAAACTTGTACAAACTGACAGGATCTGGTGATAAAGCACCCTAAATCCTATCATTTTCTTAAAAAGAAATCAACATAAAAATGTTGTTTATTTAGACACAGTATTTTTAATTTCTAGCAAGAAAATTTCAGAACCAAATGAACTAAAGTCACACACCCATGTGCTCATGCACACATGCTGAGGACTGGACCTTCTGATTTGGGCTATCTGTGTTCCTGGGGAGAAAGCTCTCTCAATAGCTTCATTCTCTCTTTAACTGTATAATACGTCACTTCTTTACTTATAAGTAGAAAGTTGCTGGATATATACAGAAATCTCCCATGAGTAACTACATGTTACTCCTTAAACCTCTGGGCTGGAACAGAAACACCCTCCACAGAAAGGCTTAATCAAAATTTAGATATATCTTAACTTCAGTCCTCTGAGTATTAGTGCTAGAGGCATGCCAATGTAAGCTTCCTAAGTGGTGCATGAAAATTTCTCACATTATTGGACTGATGAACAAGTCTTAATATTATACAATTGAGCCAATTAAAATTTGTGAAGTTTTCATTCATGTGCGTGTGTGTGTGTGTGTGTGTGTGTGTGTGTAAAACAATGAGGGAAAGGGGAAGTTATCTTACTACTTTGCTAGCTTCAAAGGCACACCCTGTTTCCACTGGTTTCACTAAACAGCCCAATACTCCTCTTAATAGTGACTAGTTCAGGAAATACCTTTAGGCAGCTATCATGATTAAAATCCAGTAATTGTTCCTTCAGTCTAACATTTATTGAACTGTGGTTTGTGCTAGGCATGCTTTGGAGGACTGAGGAGAGAAGAGTGAAAAATGTGAAGTCTCAGTCTTCCTACACCATCACTATGTACTGTGATTGTGTTTTACACCCATATCTGGTAGTTATGGGACCCATGGAAGGGTCCCAATATGTTAGGAGGAAGGAAACACCCCAGCTCTGGCTGACTCTAGGAGGCTGAGTTCAGGAACAACTTTTTCTGATGTGTACTACACTTACATGCATTCAGAGCATGTGTCTCTTCTCTGGATTCCTGGACTCTGTGCTGCAGAGTCCATTGATTGAGATGAGTGGTGAAGCTAGAACAGGAGCCAAGCAGACTATGCCAAGGGTGTTTGCTGTTTGACCTCTGTCTATAGACAGCACAGTGGCAGGCCCAATGTAGTCCAAATCATGTAATCATTTCTGGTTTAAACCAACTCTCCAGTTATTTGACATAGTATCAAGACTAAGATTGCAAAATCTGCAGATAATAACTCTAAGTCTTTGTGAAATATTAAATCAATTTCATGTGTGTACCTCAGGGAGGACAGCACCCAACTAGTGATTTGCATACTAGTGTATATCACTATGGTCCTAGCATAGTAGCAGTCCACTATACATCATTACAGAAATGTTGCTATTTATCACACGGCTGAACATAAATGGGGATAAGAAATGACCAAAAGTAACTGAGATTCTAAGACAATTTTAAAAACCTGTTTACTCATTACCACATCATCATAATTTTTTTCAGAGCAGTTAACATGTACTGAAATGAACTGATTAAATTCCTTATTATTTTCCCTTGTAGAAATGTACCTAGACACTTGTGATTTTGTTGTATCGATTCAAAACTTATCTATTTTTGTAGAAATTGAATTTTCTGAATTCCAAACTAATTCTGGCTGCTGCACCCACATTAAAAGTCAGATTTACAAGAGGCTCGTGGTGAGAGCTGCTGATTGCGTAACTATAACTGTGGGTGGTAGGTAATGCATAACAAATATTCCCAAAGTGAGCTATGGGTGGTAAAGGTGAAAGAAGGCACCATAGTAGAGGCATTGCTATACCACTTTCAACGTCAAGGTCAAAGCATGCTGTGGAGATGTCTTAGGCAGTGGGAAGTCATCAAATGCAGGATGCTTAATTTTATAAACATTCTCTATATATAATTGTGTATTTTAACATTTATTGTATTAGGGTTACTAATCATTGTTATTATTTGGCATGGAGTGATCACGAGTGAAGATGGAAAGGTTGGTGTGTGATGAGAAAGGACAGCATATCTATCATATAAAGTTTTGAAAAACAGAGGAAATCAATTTTCTTAAATTTTGACATTGTCAAATGTTTTTCAGTTTTTCAGATTCTTAAAAGACTATGCCTATTATTGTTCTTAGGCAATCATGATGAGAGAAACCAATCATAAAACTTCAGAGATATCTTGTGCATAAATAATGCAAAAACTTTACCTACCTTAAAGACAGAGGCCACCACACCAACAGACTCGCTGTCCAAGTTGACTTTATCTCCTGAATTGAGTTTCTCCTTCAGGACTCTACATGAGTTTATGTTACCCAATTTTCTCTGTGCATGGCCCTTTTTGATTGGTAAACAGACACTTGAAAACAAAACAGTCATGCAAACCTGGAGGCCATGGATTTGTGGGCACTTGTGCACACACCACTCTTCCTTTATAAATTCAGGAGAAGCATCAGATATCGAATTCTCAGGATCAGAATCCAGGGGATGTGGTTTCTAACCAGGTGTTCTTTGTGCCAAACTTCCAACAAAATACATCCTTTAGTACTCATCATGGTGAGATTGAGCCCTTGGATGATAATCAGAGTGAGTAATAAGTGTGAGAGGAGAGGAACCAGGAAAGAAGATATGGAAAGAACAGTGCAGTCGAGGAGTTTGGAACTTTTTATCAAGAATTTTACAAAATTTTGTCGTATATGTGTACCCATCATAAGACAGCTGATTATTATTGATATCAAAGTCGTATTTTGTACTCCCACCCCTAGGAATTGAAGACAACAAAGGTATAATATAATATTAGTTTATATATGAGTACACGTCTTGTATTTCCATTTTAAATTTGGTGCGAACTCAAAGTGCTAGCATAATTATATTAGTCCTCTAAAATTGTAGATATATATATCAAATTTCAATATATACTTCATTATATATTTAAATATACATCAAATTTCAATATATATTTATATATTGAAATCAGGCTACAATCTTAGAGCACTAACATATATGTATAAATATATATGTTATTGGTGTTCTAAGATTGTAGCCTGATTTCATTATGTTTTCCCTTTCAGTTCACGCCAAATTTAAAATATATTATAACTTTGTTGCCTTCCATTCCTAAATGTGGGAGTATAAAATATGACTTTGATGTCTATAATAATCAGCTGTCTTATGATGGGAGGTTCATTATACAAACACACATGTGTGTATGTGTGGTCATATACATATAGACATATATAGTTGAATATATATAAATTCAAAAATCAAAGTTGGTTTTTAACAAAAATAACATAGATAACCTACAGTTATTGCTAGCTTTAGTAGTGACATATTGATTATGTCATTTGTTGTGTCTGAATTTGTTATTGTTATGGTTATAGACTGTAAAAAAGAAATGAGAAAAATTACTATAAATTTGGAATTTTAATGCATAAGATTAAATAATTATTGTCAAATTATTACCTGTATTTCAAAGACAAAGCTTGTTTCCAGGTAACGACAAAGTTAAGCACATGTAGAGCATGAATCCTTAATTATAATTTATTTTCATTCCTTTATATAACATGAAGCCAGTAGAAAGAATTTCAGTAAAACATATATATCTCTCTTAAAATAAAGGACTTGTGGCACTTGTGATATAACAGCACAGGCAAGAAAGAGAAAGACTGAGAATTCACAGAGGGCACAGGGGCTGCCCCTCAGCCTCGGGAGGCCACTTCGGCAATGGAGAGAACCGTTTAAAAAGGAGGAGCTGGGCCCTTTCTCTCTTCCCGGGTTGTGTTTTTATCATATGGCTTATATCTTTGCACATCACAAATGCAGTTCTAGTAAAATCAGAATAAGAACTAGCTATAAAAGACATTTTTAAAACCCCTGTGTGGCAAGCATTTTCTCTGTGCGGGATATCATGGTTACTAAGAACTTCATTGTTGAAATCTATTGAGGCAATTAAATAAAATTTTAGAAATTTAAGTTCCATTCCCAACTCTGTCAACGAATAGGGTATCTATAATAGCTCTCTACTGCACTTCACATTGAGAAACTGCTCCATAAAAACAGGAAGACAATTTGCAGAAAATAACCCAAAAGGATTAATAGGATTCCAAGATGACAACTACTGCACTCTGAATTTCAAAAGACATTATTTTAAAATAAGGCAATATGTAACTAAGAACATTTACTATGCATATGCGTCCATAATGAGGGCTCCTTTTTCTGATAAAACAGTGCTTAAAGAAGACAAAAAAACATAAGTGGACTCCCATGTGCCGTAAAGATGATGTTAAAAACGAAATTAGAGGAAACCCTTTTATAATTCATTGCTATTGTTTTCGTTGTATTTTTCTTCCTGATAGCCTAACTGCTTGACATGACAGATGGTCCTGAAAGCTGTTAATTGGATTTTTATGAACAAAGTCATCTTATATTCATCAATTTCAAATTGTGCTGCTTGTAGATATAAGGATTGTGAAAAAATGTCTCAGAATCCAACGGCAGGGCTCAGAGAACCCAAACTCAGGTATATCAGGGGCTGCTTATGCTAAAGTATCTAGGAGGGTGCAAGCTCTGGGTTCTAGGATGGGATTTAATTAGAAGGAAAGGTTCTGCTATTTTTTAAAAATGTCTGAACGTCCTTTCATATAATTTTAAAATTCTACCATGAAATCTTTGGTAAAGTAAAAATCTCTTTTGAAATGATAATATGCATCTCTTACTTTATGTGGTGTGTAGGATAATGGGTTTTCATGGCATAAGGAACATATTAAGTCCAAAATAATAATTACAAAGATATGTGTATTTCTTCCTAATGCTGTTCTCCTTGTAGACAAAATAAATTCCAGTAGGTAGTGCTGTTTATAAACAAGTATTTTTTTAAAAATAAACTATTAAATAATTTCCTAAAAAATTGAAATGTGGCTATTTTCTTCATATGAGCTGAAGTGTTTCTTAATATATGAAAATCTAGGAAAATGTGGCCAATTCCAACTGAGGCCAACTTTAAGATGATCTAGATGTTCAAATTATGAAACAAAAAGCAGTTGTTATAATTATGCTCAATTATGTAAAGAAAAATAATTTCACAAATAACAAAATATGGACAATCTCATCATAGACATAGTATATATTTCAAAACAGACATTTTAAATCTGAAAAATACATGAAATAACAAATCAAAGAATCAGTGAAATTGAAAATAAATCCATAGAAAGTGTCCAATCTGAAGAAGGATTAAAAAAAGGATTAAAAATAAATGAACAGAGCCTAAGGGACCTGTGGACAATATCAACAGTTTCAATAAATGCATTTTGTCACTCATATGTGAAAGCTAAAAAAAACCTTGATCTTAGGAAATTAAAAAGGAGAATAGAGGCTACTAGATGCTGGGAAGGGCACAGGAAATGGAAAGATAAGGAGAGATTTGTTGAAGGATACAAAATTACAGCTAGATAGGAAGGATAACTTCTAGGGTTTTACCACACTGTAGGATGATTATAGTTAACAATAATATACATTTTCAAATATCTAGAAGAGAGAAAATTGAATGCTCACAACACAAAAAAAGGTAAATATTTGAGATGATGAATATGCTAATTACCTTGATCTGACCATTATACATGGTATGTATTGAAACATCATCATTTACCCCATAAATGTGTATAATTGTGTGTCTAAAAATAAAAATGAAATTTTAAAAAGTTTTACATGGGACAGGTGCAGTAGCTCACACCTGTAATCCTAGAACTTTGGGAGGCTGAGGAGGGCAGATCACTTGAGGTCAAGAGTTCGAGACCAGCCTGGCCAACATGGTGAAACTCTGTTTCTACTAAAAATACAAAAATTGCTTGACATGGTGGTGAGTGCCTGTAATCACAGCTACTTGGGAAGCTGAGGCAGGAGAATTGCTTGAACTCAGGTGGCAGAGGTTGCAGTGAGCCGAGATCATGCCACTGCACTCCAGCCTGGGTGACAGAGCGAGACCCTGTCTCAAGAGAAAAAAAAAAAAAAAAGTTTTACATGTAACTGGAATCCCAGAATGAGAGAAGAAAGAAAATGGGACAGAAAAAAAAAATGCTCAAAGTAATAATGGCTAAAATTTTCCCAAATTTGGCAAAACATAAAAAATAACAAAATCAATAACTTCAGAAAATGCCAACTAGACTAAATTCGAAGAAAACTGGGCTTTGACACATCATAGTCAAACTACTCAAGGCCAAAAAAACAAAACAGAAAATCTTGAAAGCAGTAAAAATAAGATGAAAAATCAAAGACAGAGGATCGATGTTTACTGATGTTAGACTGCTCATCAGAAAGCAAAGAGACCAAAAAACAGTGAAGTAGATTTAAAGTGTTGAAATAAAAATATTGGCAAGGAAAATTCTATGTCTAATGAGAATATCTTTCCAGAGTGAAGATGAGATAAAGACATTTTTAAAATTAAAAATAAACTAAGAAAATTTGTTGGCACCAGACCTACACTATAAGAAATGTTAAGAAAAGTTTCTATAAAATGAAATGAAGCAGTATTAAAGGGAAACTTGGAGCTTCAGAAATGAATCATAAGCATTAGAAATGTTTCTTTCATGTAAACTATAACTAAATAAAGTTTAGTTTTTTAAATTTCAGGGCAATTCTCCATGAAAAATGCTGAATGTTACCATTTGCCACAATGAAATCAAAGCAGGCAGACAAGAGTGTCCTTCCCCACAGGAGGCCTCTCTAGTCTCAGCTCCCTCAAGCAATGCATCTGGTATTTGGAAATAGGTCAGAACATTCACATGACTTTTGCTATTGGCCAGGAAATAGTGTTTTTGAAATATCATTTTTCCTCCTACAAATACTATGTTGTATGATCAGAGCTGCTGTAAGAGTAAGGTGCCATCAAAATATATGAAGAGTATCTTGTCATCTTTATGAACAACCTGACTACTGCACTACAACTTCAGATATAAAAACTTACACAATATTTGAAGGTAAAAGTTTGATTTTTTTAAACCAACAGCATAAAAAAAAAAGAGGTAGACACATGCCGATCACTTGAAAGTGATGTCCCTCTCAGCTCAGTTCAATCCTGACATTCTTCAGAATAAAAGACTCAAAACTCCGTATATTTGACATAGCAATTAACTGCATTACCTGTGCTAGAAAGGGAACATTATTTGGGTCAACTGACAAAATTGGAACGTGAATGGGAGATTAAAATATGCGACCAATGTTAAATTTACTAAAGTTGACAGCTGAATGATGGTTATGAAGAGAATAACCTTATTCTTGGAAAATGCATAGGTATTTAAGAATCAAGGGCCATGGTGTATATAACTGTCCTTCGAAAACAGGTGTACACATACACATAAATGGAGAAAAAAGAGAGAGAGACAGAGATAGACAAAGAATGCAAATAAATGGAAAATCAATGTGGTAAACTGCTACGACATAGGTGAATCTGAGTAAATAGCATACGGGTGTTCTTTGCATTATTTTGTATTTTTCTGTATGTTTACAACTATTTCTAAGTGAATAATTTTTAAAAATAAAATAAACATTTTTAAAAACATGGAAACAACCAAAACT